AGAGAGAGAGAGAGAGAGGGAGGGAGAGAGAGAGAGAGAGAGAGAGAGAGAGAGAGAGAGAGAGAGAGAGAGAGAGAGAGCCACAGGAACACAGACTTTGTCACCAGGGAAATACGACCAACTTACTCTCCAGGAGAAAAGACTCTCTGGATGGCAGTGTGACAGTGTGCATAGTTGTGTTAAGGGGGAGGTCTGGTGAGCTAAAAACAATCTTCATTCACTGACCTAAATAAAAGAATTTAGCATATTAAGACTTAATGCCAAGGTGCGGAATGGTTCAGGGTGTTATTCATGACATATATCACTCATTGTCATGTTGATGGCGGCCATCGTGAAAGTAAACTTAAATCTTAAACTCCTAAAATCTCAAACACTAATCAAGATATTGCACTTTGTAAGATAGGAAGGGAAAGGCAGGACGTATATCGAGGTAATAGGGTGACTATTCTTTTTGTATTTGGTTGTTATTATGGATGAAGCGTGACTGAATTACATGGTGTAAAAAAGTGTTGAAAATACACCTCCCCAACCTGATAAAAATGCTTATGGCCCCTGCCATATACAAAGAAAGACAAAAATAACTAGCTCATTACCTAGAAATATGGATAAGCTATCACTGTGCCAAATTTCAAGTCGCTACGGCAATAAGTAAGCGAGATTTTAGGATTTTCGTGGCATGCTGTCCATGAAAAACACAGTTCAGAGAAAATGGCCATTAAAGTAAAAAATTACATGACCTACTGTGATACTATAAGTAGACATATGAAACAAACTTTCCCATACAGCATGCTTATCTCTGAAAAATAATATACCAGATTTGATACCTAGACACTTTCAGTAATTTATTTCTGTAAAAACCTCAAAAACGATATTTTGACCCAATTTTCAGCCTGAAGTCGCACCCGACCACCCCCTTAATCAAAATGCATAAGCAGCAGTTTCGCCGTGAAGACAACAGAGAGAAAGAGAGCACAAAGAAAAGACCATAACCATTTGAGTACATCAGCACTGGAGGGAAGGACAGAAAACAGGAAAAATGTCAGAGAATATATAGAAAAAAGAAACGAAAAAGATAACCAAGAGATATGTATATATATATATACAAAATATAATATCTGACCTGAAGAGGTTTGTAAGAAGGTAAGGAGAGGCCGGGGCTAGTATAGGCCATTATCTCTCAGGGCACTTTCTATTGCTTCATCCTTGAGGGGGGAGTAAGATAAAAACCATCACACTCAGGTCTCAAACAGCAAGGGAAGGGATATACACATGGAATAAGTATAGAAATATATATAGAAATATATAGAAAAAGGGACAAAACTTGACAGTCAGGATATTGTAAAAAAGCGAACAGCTCATTCAGAAAGCCAGAGGCACAGACAAGGGTGGCTTCCCTCAGAACTACATATCTGAGCTACACACACAGCCACACACACAGCCACACACACAGTCACACACACAGTCACAAGAGTCACCTAAGTACTCAACCCTGCCCAAAATGGTATACGCAGTTTCCCACTACTCTAAGGTGTCGAATAACCCCCCCCCCCCCCCCCGACTTATTAATTTTCAGTCTTTTTGTGCACCCCCCCGTATTTATTCCATACTCCCTAATTATTTTATTATTGTCCAGCTTGCCACGACCCACGATCATGTGAAACACTGTATCTAGAATCTAGATATCTGAATGAAACTTCTATTTTTTTTTTGTAAATGGCAAATTACCCTCAGTATTAGTACCGGTATCGGGTTGGTTACCTCAATTTTGTGTGCATTTTTAAAACTTTTGTACATTGGTTTATATTTTTTTAAATGAAACTGGTTTGTTCGTAAATGGAAAAAGTTGTCACAGTAACTTACTAAAATAACTAGAATGTCATGATCTCTTGTTCTTTTAGTCACTGAAGGAGAAATAAACTGATTTGTTCCTACTAGTACAGGGGTATGAGGTTCAATGTGCCGCCCCATTTATTAATTTTGGACTACTTTTCCACTCCCCCCCCTCCACCCCCTATCCGATACCTCAGAGTAAGTCTTATCCTGTACATTCCTCCAAATGTATCCAAAAGTGAAACACGCGAGAAGCAAGACCTCTGAACAAATAGTCGAGACAACCACAAAGAAACGTTCCAAGAACTGGGGGTGTCGAGACACACATGGAACCAGTACCTGGCCACACAAGTGTCCTCCATTTTAAAAAAATCAAAAGAATTTTCAATGTCATGACAGTTATTTGACGAAAGTTGAGAAACAGTTATTTGCCAATATCGCAAACTAATACATCTTTCTTCAGCCACGTCTCTTCGCAGTGATGTAACCTTTGCTTGTCCTAGTATTTCACAGAGCTTATACAAACATTCTACTCAACTCTACACCAAAACTCTCCCATAAAACAAACAAGGCACACAAATCTGAAATGCTCTAACACAGGCAAACCAACCAATTCCTTTGGAAAGATGACCCTGGACAAATCAAGAAAACCAGTGGTTGATATAACAAGTGCAACAAAATGAACAATATCTAGACACAGCAAGAGAAGGAAAACAGGGAGACAATCGTCTGACTCTGAACATGGACTCTGGAAAGGCTAAAGCAAAAACAGATGACAAAACAAAACAGCCCAGTGTGCTAGTGTGAGTGAGTGGGCCCGCCACGTTGACCACCGCGGTGAGACAACGCAGAAAACAAACTCCCGCCGTTCAATTTGAAAGTTACACTCTAATGAGGAGGAGAAAGAAAAAGTAATATATAAACATATGTGTGGGGGGGACAACAGAAGGGTACAGAGGTACCACACACACATACAGACACACACACACACACACACACACACACACACACACACACACACACTATACACACAACCACAACGCCCACACATAGACTGACCCAAAGGGAACCTGCTACAAACACAGACAGTTAGAAAAAGTGCTCTATTTTGTCAAAGGAGCAGTCTCCTATTATTAATATTTCTCAATTTTTTGAAGTTTTGAACAAAAATAATTAAGTCCAATGTAAGAAAGTAAGCTACAAAAAAATAAAAAAATAAAAACAGGTGCGAAAAAAGAACAACACATCTAACGAAAGACTACCTGGATATACGAACCGAACAGCCTTGCAGCTCTTCTGTTTCCTCTCCTCTTCCCTCTTCCTCCTTCGTCCTTTCTTCTCCTTCGTCCTTTCTTCTCCTTCTTTTCTCCCGCCTTTTCTTCTTCCTGTTCTTTCTCATCCTCCTTCTCCTCCTCCTCCTCCCCC